GTTGACACCTATTGAGTGTACGATCGTAGCCTGTAGTTATAACCAGAGTCTCTTGGAGGGAGAGCGGGGGTTTGTGTATAGATCTATACGGGGATGACATCCCACACCTGAGCTGTTCGTCACAGTTAGACTAAACCAGTCTAGGGTGACAAAAACCTTATTCTATTATCCGTCGGCGTTCAACAATGCCAAGACAGACGAATATGTCATTATCTAGTATGGTTATAACGACTCACTTAGAGGAATTAACGTTATAAATTTACGGGAGACCATTCTCTATTCTAAATGGATTACTCGGGAACATACTCGCGCTGGTACTCACCCTCGGACACAAACATACTAAACTATTTTAAGAAAATATAGTATTTTCTTGTGATTACAAAGTTATACAAATCATTTTCTCAAAACATGCTTATGAACTCACCAACATTTTTATGTTGACCTTTTTAAATTAACTTGTATTCTCAGGAAACCGTTGAAGCAGGTTGGGCAGAACAAACTAATGGATATTTTGTTATATTTTGTTTCAGCATTCTTTAACTATTTTGCATGTAATATTCAAACACAGTACTTGATGTAAACAATGTATGTTGTTATATTACATGTGTGATGATGATGATGATGTTATGTTTCAATTATATACTATGTGACGATACTACAAGGATGAAGTTATACCAAGCCCCCAGACGTTTCTGCCGTCTGGTTCGGGGTGTGACAATGTGGTCATTTTACCAAAAAGAATGTTGGTTATTTTTGTTAAAATGATCGTTTATAACGTTTAGATTAATCAATTTCCATACAATCAATCAAAGCCATTTCTTGGTTATGAGGGCAACCTAAAGAAGACTTTAATTTTATTCGTAACCATTATACCAAATTAGTTAGGACCTTAGACACCTTAACCCAATAGTTAATGGACAAACGAAGAATAGCATAAGTATGTCGAATCGAACATTCATTTTTACTGCCTTTATGAGGATACAAGTACTTCTTTTTTAACACTCCATCAGCTATGACGTCTTTTCCCGATCAAAATGAAATTTCATCATACTCTTTCATATTTTACATGAAAAATATATGACGACATAACACTGCTTCCTGGACAAAAAAACATACAACTACAACTGATGCTATCATCCCTTGTGCTAAATACAACCTACAAAATTATCATTAATAAACAAACGAATATGTGAATAAGAAACTTTATTTCATACCATTCAATAAAAATTATATAAATTAACATCGATTCGCATTGTTAATCAACATTACAAATCATAATACTATAACATTTATTCATATTGTGAATTTAGAATCTTATTTAAATTAGATTTTCAACATAAATATGTACTTCAAAACAGATTTACCAAAAAAAATTTCTATAATCCATAATAATCTAAGGAAAAATACAAACCAATTTATAAATCTATAAGAATTCACACTGTGAATTGGTAAAACATCTTGCATTCAGAATGTGAATTTTTAAACTACTTTTGATCTTTAATAAACTCTATTTTGAATTTAATAAACATTTTACCAAAACAAATTACATGAAAATTTTATAGACAAAAATAACATAAAAAAATAGATAAAACTTTTGCAACACTCAAAACTATTTCTCATATATAATAAATAAATTACATACCTTGTAACGACTATGAGGACAAAGAGAAGGAAGACTATTTCGATAAAATCATCAAAATCTTCATCCTCATTCACTTTTATTTATCAACCAACTTTTTTATCATCTTCTTATCTCTGAAAACATAAACTTCACTTTCATTTTCATTCAGTTTTATTTATCAACCAACTTTTTTATCATCTTCTTATCTCTGAAAACATAAACTTCACTTTCATCTTCAATAAATATAGATTCTTGAATGCAGCAAAAAAAAATATTCAAAATTGTATTACTCTTTCTGAATGTCTAATAAAATATTAAGTGTATAAATTTCCGATGCATTCTTTTCAATACGGAAATGAGTCATTATCTTAGGGGTGGTACTTGTGGACTGAAAATCTAATATAGATTGATGATATCTTTGCTTCTCCATTGCATTTATCGAATGACATCATGAACTTCACTAAATTTGATTTATGATACAAAAGATGTGAGAAATCATAATTTAGGATCTCTAATCTTCAAGTAGTTCGCATCAAACCAGAAAGTTCAAGATCTCTCATATAATCCGGAATCCATAAATCCCTTATTTTAAACATAGACTTTAACCAGTCGACTTCTTTGAGATCAAAATTATCTAACATTGTTGACCATTATCTTTCAAATTCTTGTGAATCATGTACTCAAATGAGAAACTTTAGGAAGTCTAGCTGGTTATAAACACAGATAGGAATCAAGAAGCAAAGAAACATATAAACATAGATATACATTTTCAAATAACATAACAATGCGAAACCTATACACAAATGAACATAAATTCACAAGAACTTGAAAAAAGCACAATTCACAAGAAAATTTATATAGAATAATAACTAAGATGGATAGACAAACATTTACATATTATTTTTATAAATAACAAAAAAAATCATGAGCAAGTATACACCTTTTCCTCAAGTTTTTTGAGTGATGTGCCACATGTATAGTCTACGCTTGGATTCAAGAAAACAAAACTAACAACCTTCTTCATTGATTATTCCTGATGTGTTACAATCATCATGGGTTGCTTGACAAATGCTTTACGAAACTTAGAGTAACCACACATATGCATCTGCTATCTCACGAGCTTGTAAACCAACAGTAAAAGTAATATAATGCTTGTGGTGGTCAACTCCAATAAAAAAAACTAATACCACAAAATACCTGAAAGAAATTTTTAAAAATTCACATGAAAATTATACTTTACAAATATAATAACTGAAAAATATTACTAATAATAAGGAATATGAATTACTTGTTAGTTTGATAAGTAAGATAGTACATCTCCAAATTCTTTATAGTTGGAGTTCAAAGTATCATTAGCCCAAAAAAGTCCAATAAGGCGATCATCACTATCTGTTTTAACCTCAAATGAAATTTTTGAGAAATACAATTTTCTGTTTTTTCATTATATCCACAACCATTTGGGAAGTTTTGATACCAATTTAAAATTTAAATATCTATGAAATTTTTTGTAGTCGACCGCAATCTCTCCCCTAGAATCAAGCCACCTTTCATACTACTCAACAAGTTATAAGCTTTTGAAGCACCAATGTTATAAGTACCAACCTTATATATAAAGGATTCATCAAGAAAATCGATGTTTCTATTAGTCCTTAATAAGTGTAATTGATCTTGAGCAACAAGTTCATGGTTGTGATATTTAACAAACACATAAATGTAGAACATTAAAGAACATCATACATTCTTGAACTTTGAAACAGAAGGGCATCCTTTCTTCTTAGAAGAAGTTTTCCTTTTTTTAACATATCAAAACTTTTCATTAATATTTTCATTCTTGAATGACTTTGTGAAACCAGAGCTACTGCATGTAGAATATCTAAGACGAACTATGCAATCATATTATATATATATATATATATATATATATATATATATATATATATATATATATATATATATATGACTTGAAAGATTCACATCAAAACCAAATTATTGACCATAAGTCTTATAAAAGTCAAGGCCAATCTCTAAAGAATCAAACTACAATCCAATGAAAGGCTTCTTATGTATCAACTTATCATAACGAACAGGCTTAACATACTCAATATTGTGGAGTTCAAAATCAAAACTATCATGAGAATTACTGCTACTTGAACGATTAATATTCATACTTGAAGATGAGTGACAGAAACTGCAAAAGCAAAAAAAAAAAACATTTCTTTATTACATTACATATAAAATGTGAAATTACATTCAGAAGAAAAACTTACCAAATTTTTTATTAACAATAGAGCACAAATAAACAAGATAATAACGAAACTTTAAAATATATGCACAATATAAGATAAGATTCGCAAAATCATTAAAATTTTGGAAATAATTTGAATTTATTTAAATATAATAATATAATTGATTATCTAAATGTCGAAGATTCATTATATACAAAGAAATGTCACAGATAAATAATCACAAGAACGAACAAAGAAAAAACAGCAACATCAAATGCATATTCAACATACCACATAAAATTAACAAATTAACAACAAAAGCATAACTATTTGAAGATTAAACTTAAAACTCGTAACATTTGACAATCATATAACTATAATAAAAAAAAAAGATTGAGATATCAAAATAGCTTTTATTTTGTATAATCAAATCATGTGTAGATTTTAATCGGTAAACTTCAAATTTGAAAAAATATTTGTTATATAATCGATGTTATATATGAATGTATGAAGTATTTCATTCTTAGGTTACTAAGTTTAAAGTAGGAATTTGATAACTATTTTGAAACTTATAAGTTACTAAGTTTAAATGTTATTTTTGTAGTCATATTCATTAAAAATTGATAGTAACTAAAAAACAAATAAATTTATATCAAAATATGACATATATTATTTAACAAACATTTACATTTTTTTTTCAAGAGAACTATATATTAATAATATTTATGAATTTTTAACACTATTTTTAAAATGCTTTTTATAGTTATTTATTTATTGAGTATATTGATAAAACTAGATTTGTAAGACTGATTACCCATGAATGGAATAATTATGAGTGGATCAATACATTGAACTTTATCCTCTCTGATTAAACCACGTTGAGAATAATTGAATATGCAAATCTCTCTCTCTCTCTCTCTCTCTCTCTCTCTCTCTCTCTCTCTCTCTCTCTCTCTCTCTATAAGTACTCACATCTTTCAAGCAAATCTCATTCAAACTTCACTTGCTATCCACCTCTCTCTCTCTCTCTCTCTCTCTCTCTCTCTCTCTCTCTCTCTCTCTCTCTCTCTCTCTCTCTCTCTCTCTCTCTCTCTCTCTCCTTGTATTTCTATTATATATATATCCTTGTATTTCTCTTTCACTCTGGTACAAGAATGTCTACCCCAAAATCTTCTACTAAGATCCAATCCCTTGAAGCCAACCCTCATATTGACGTGGGTTTTACGATACTGCAAAGGAACACATCCATTCCTCAACCAACAGAAAGAAGAGGCCGAAAAAAGGAGGCGGAGCCAGGGAGGTTCCTTGGTGTCAGGAGGCGGCCATGGGGAAGATACGCAGCGGAAATAAGAGACCCCACAACCAAAGAAAGACATTGGCTTGGAACATTTGATACTGCCCAAGAAGCTGCCCTTGCATATGATAGGGCTGCCCTATCCATGAAGGGTACCCAAGCAAGGACCAATTTCATCTACGCTACTGATCACGCTAACACCAATTTTCACTCTCTAATATCTCCTCTTGATGTTCAAACCTTATTCCAGCCTGCACAACTCTTTAATGCACCACCTTCCCACCATGCTACGACCGCTAAACAACCAATCAACCCTACTAATTCCCTCCAGAATCCAAACCAATCAGGCCTTGACAAGTGCTACCAATCCTCCATTGATGACCACCATAACTTTTTGATTAGTGAAGGTGACAACTCCGGTTACCTCGGCTCCATTGTACCTGATGACTACTTAAACCCCAGAAACAATAATGGCAATAACGTAAATATAAGTCATGATGATCCGACAAGTCAGCGATCATACTGGGATCAAAGCAGCCAACTTTTTCCTTCTAATGATCAGCATGAGTATGGCGATATCTGGGGTGGTAGTAACGATAGTTCATGGGAGACGTTGAACGGATACGAGCTTTCAGCGATGGTCAACTATCCAGATACATCATCCATGTGCGAGGAAGAAGGTCAGATGGTAGGTTTATACGATTCAAACTTGAGTTATGAACTAATGGCTGGTGCTAGTAGCAACGTGACCAATAGTTCAACGAGTACTAGCTGCTCCTATAGTGACATAATTGGCATTGGGTTTTAAGTTTTGTGTGTTGAGTTTTGTTTCTCGAGTAAGTTTGTTTCAATACATGTTTAAGTCTACCTTGATTTAACGGAATATATATATATATATATATATATATATATATATATATATATATATATATATATATATATATATATATAAACATTGAGTTCTGAATTATAACGACCGGTTTTAAAATATTTAAGGTGTTAATTTCCCTATAAGAAATTAAGGTGTGTTTACCTACACATAAGTTACCCACACATGTTAATATGTGGGAAAATACCCACACATATTTTTATATGTGCACGTAAATGAAAATGATAAATTTTAGTGATTATCAACACTTATACGTTATGTAAATAATACTTTTTACCAACACTTTATTTTGGTGTGAAAATTTTACTCAAAAATCGGCCATCCGTAACATGTTTTGTACCCATGTAGCAAAATTTATTAATACAAACTTAGAAATTGAATATATGTGTTGACAATTTGTTAACTTTCACCCGACACATATTATTTTACTATTTTTCTCAAAATGACTTGGAAATTTTACTACCATACATATTTGAAAATTAAATATATGTTTGGAAAATTCATTAAATTTTTAACCGATATATAATGTTTACATGTTTTTTGTATAATATTTACATGTTAATGTGTAGTTACGTAAGATGAAATAAGATCAAGTGAACATTTTTTTTAAAGTTAAGATCGAGTGAACATTTTTTTTAAAGTGAAGATCGAGTGAACATTTTTTTTAAAGTGAAGACACCTTAAAAAAATTGAAAAAAATCTAAAAAAATACATATCATATAATCGAGCATAATACTACATTGGAGAGAAAAAAATTGAAAAAAAATTGGATCATTAAAATTGAAATATTGATATTTTTATGATCCAGGATTCAATTTTTATGATCCATGATTCAATTTTAATGATGGAAAAAAAAAATTCCAATTTTTTTTTCTATGCTCGATTTTATGATTTGTATTTTTTTTAGATTTTTTTTTCAATTTTTTTTAAGACGTACTCACGAATCCTCACTTTAAAAAGAGTTCTCACCGAAACCGGACCCTACGTAAGATAACCAAATTTTGATCAAATTTTATTTTGACGAGTGTAGTTTAATATCACATATATCTTAATTAAAAGTATAATATATGTATAAGCAGTATATATATCACCTACCCATATATTAATCAATATTTTATTTAGGTGAAAATTATTTAACTTTATGACAATAAAGAAAATGACGTAGAAAATAGAACCATGTCCAAATAATTATAACAAAAACAAAATATTAATGAAAATTGAAAACAAGAAAAAAATTTAAGGGATAATCATTTAGCTTTATAGTTTTTTTTTCTTCTTAAAATAGGTCTTACGAAACTATTTTTATTTGAGATGATCCTTAACGAGCAAACCTTAAACACAAAAGGTCCATGTGACTAACTTTGTTAACAAATTATGTTTAGTTTTATTAAATAACCAAAATACCCTTTGTTATATATATATATATATATATATATATATATATATTGTGTGTGTGAACTCATTTAGGGGATTAATCTTTCCAAGAAACTATCTCTTCTTTTAGGCTAAGGTTGAACTCGCTGGAGATCTTTACTTACACCAGAAAATTGATTCGATTTGATAGGATCCAACACACCCACTCTTACATAACATAAACAACTCCATTTTTCTCGAAGGATGTTTCAAATCTTTTCCAGAAAACACCTATGAGATCTCCCGAATTCCTACTGATCTCCTATCGAAATCACATCACAATCAAATGAAAACACACTATATAGTCGAAGAAAACCAAACAGCGGCAGAGTTTGCATCATTGAAGCTACACAACTTTACCAGAAAATAGCTATTCTCTCTCTCTCCATACTTTAGTGTTCTCTATCAATTAAAAAAGTAGCCAACGCCTTTTCGGAGCAAAGAACCTTATTGCCACTATTTCCATGTTGACCCATCGAAGACCGCCATATGAATGGGTAAAAATGATACATATTCTCAAATTGAAAATATGGGTAAAAAGAAAATGGTGAACCTAGAAGCTTCGATGTATGATGTTAGATCCGAAAATAAAGTTGATAGTCAATTTAGGATTTTTTATTGACTACACAACTCTTGATTCTAAAGAAGAATGAGATGGAGAGGAATAGTCCAGGTTTTCAATGGAGATGTAAATGAAGACCGAAATCAGACAGTTGTTCTTGAACCACTAAAAGAAACATTGTTCACTTCATCTCTTTGGAATTTAATGTTAAGCTTGGTGGGCATAAACTTGACATCTTCACCGAACTCAAAACCACCAATAAGTTGATGAAATCCATTGTTGAATCAGAATCAACGTCTCATTAGAGGAAATCGCCATCTACTTTGTTCACCATGGAAAATAACAAGAACATTTGAACTAAGAACATGAAGAAGATAAAGACAGCCAACAAAGCAACCCATTGCAAGTAATCAATCTTCTTGAAACTAGTAACCCTCATAAATCTTGATCAAGGACTTTGCAAATTCGAAGAATCATTTAGTGAAAGTTTAAGTTAAGTGTCTTTTTTAAGCGGAAGTACCAGATACCCATTTAAAAAAAGCTAAATCGGAAATCCTACAAAACCCATTAAGAACACAAATAAAGAAGAACGATCAGGTTTTATTTTGGGATTGTGTTAACATTTCATAAACCTTTTGATACAGCTTTGATGTTGGTTTTTGTTCTAATTTCATCAAATTTGGTTTAGATTTTAATTTCATCAATTTTTGTTTTGGTATGTGAGTATGTGTTGTGAATCAGATGCAAACAGGAGAAAGAGAGAGAAATAGATATATAGATAGATAGATAGATAGATAGATAGATAGAGAGAAGAACCATCAGTGTGCATAAAATAAAGGGTATTTTTTTTATTTAACAAAACTTAACAAAATTTGTTAACAAAGTTAGTCATAGGGGCCTTTTGTGTGCAATGTTTGTTCCTAAGGGACCATCTTATGGAAAAAAGTTTCGTAAGGACCATTTTAGAAAAAAAACTATAAAGCTAAAGGATCATTCTTGAAATTTTTTCTAAAAAACAAATCATATTCGGATTTTGAAATTTTTATCATGGATTAAGATATTACTCTAATCCTCTTGTCAGTTTAAATGATTTTTCAATTTTATTTTCCCTCCATCTTTTCCCACTTTTTTTTTTGTTTTTTAATTCCCTCTAACTGTTTCTCCATATTTATTTCAGATATTCCATAAAACTAGGTTAATACCCATGGAAACCATAGGTGAGAAAGAAAAAAACACTATTGACAATCTCAAAGCATAATGACTAATCAAAGATTTGCAAAAAAAAGGTTATTTATTTATAGAGATAAAAGTTTTGTCTGTAAGTGTCACACCCCCAAACCGGAATGGCGGAAACGTTCGGGGGCGGATGATTTCATGTATAGTATCACAACAGTTGTATCATAGTACTCAAAGTAAACACAACCATTACATTAAATATATATAATAAGTGTTTACATTAGTTTGCTTCGTACTCTTATACAACCCAAAAGTATAATAAAAGCAAAAGGTGTGACTCTAGGTGCTCCGTCTTCTCAAAAGTCTGTCAAGATACCTGTCTAATAATTTCCTGAGAATACAAGCAATTTTGAAAAGAGTATCAGCATAAAGCTGGTGAGTTCATAAGCATCTTTTGTAGTAAAAACCGGTTAACGAATCAGTGAAAATGTTTTGTATGTTTCCAAGAAAATCCAATATTTTATTTAGTAAAAGTGCGATAGTATTAGTAAAAATGTTTGTATGACTGAACTACCACTAGATGTATTGTTTGATAAATTTTGTATGAAAATCTCTGTATGAAATGTTCTGTTTCAAAACCCTGGTTATTATCAGTATGTATAATATATTACTAGTTTTATGTCCATACATTAAATAATCATGTATATTACTACATAAGTAAATCGTTGTTTATCTATTTACGAGTTTTATGTCCATACATTAACTTGATATGGCACGAATCGGGCACCAATATCCTTTATGACTTTGTCACCCGTAGCCCTGCCGGTCCTACTGTAGCTAGCAGCAAGGTGCGGGATAGTCAGTCCCGTATAGATCTATACACAAAAATCACGCTCTCCTTCGAGGAGATTCTGGATCATAAGGGGTAGTCTTCCACTAGTACATGTAATTGTACCCAAAGACGTGTCTCTCAAGCTAGATTAACGATATTACAAGTAATAATGCGAGAAAACCTTTTTATAAATAATCATTCATAAAAGATGTGTGTATATGTATATGTTTAACCTTGTATGTATCCCCAAACTATACTTAATATAGTTTGTGTGTATGTATATGTATAACCTTGTATGTATCCCCAAACTATACTTAATATAGTTTGTGTGTATGTATATGTATAATATTTTATGTATTCCCAAACTATACCTAATATAGTTTGTGTGTATGTATATGTAAAATCATGTATTGATCTGAAAACTGAGTGGTTAAGCTCGTAAGTTGAAACGTCCCTTATGCTCAGCATAATACAGAAGGGATAAAATATCTAAATATTTTGTAAAACTGTAGAAACTATGTATTTGTATTGATTTCCTCCGTTTTAAGTTTACTGAAATCCTTTTGTATAAATTTCATAAATCATTTATGTTTGGCTTGTATTCCCCCCCCCCCCCCCCTAAAAACATTAAAAACTCGGGAAAAATGTAGGGGGTATGAACTCACCTCGAGTGAGTGGTTTGTATGAAAGATCGATATGAGATGCTGAGTGACAAGTGAAGCCTCGAACACAATTGGATCCCATTTAACATGTAATAACACATATAGGTGTCAAATTAGGGTATTTCACTACTAGACATGATGGGAAACCACTCTAGGGACTTGGAAACACTTGAACTAAGTGCTAAAATCACATATGATTGAGTGAGGGAGGTGTATGGCCACCCTAGGGGTGTGTGCGGCCATGGGTGTGCGGCCCATGAGTGTACAGCCGTAC